ATCTTATATCTTATATCTTATATCTTATATCTTATATCTTATATCTTATATCTTATATCTTATATCTTATATCTTATATCTTATATCTTATATCTTATATCTTATATCTTATATCTTATATCTTATATCTTATATCTTATATCTTATATCTTATATCTTATATCTTATATCTTATATCTTATATCTTATATCTTATATCTTATATCTTATATCTTATATCTTATATCTTATATCTTATATCTTATATCTTATATCTTATATCTTATATCTTATATCTTATATCTTATATCTTATATCTTATATCTTATATCTTATATCTTATATCTTATATCTTATATCTTATATCTTATATCTTATATCTTATATCTTATATCTTATCTTATCACAGATTGAGTAAGAGTTTTTATTCAAGTCGGAGAACTGTGAAACCCGATGACAGGGGAATATGATGGATGGATCCATATCCGGTATAGGGAAGGGCCAAGAATGTACGTGGGTGAGTGAAGGAGGGTCTGAGCCGCATAGCAGGGAAATGTCAGCGTTTTTGGTAATTCATTTAACAGGTGTCCATTATTTGGCTTATTTAAAAGTTAAATCAGTGGCAGCCGATTCGAGGTGCAGACGCGTGCGGCATATGGAATTCTCAGTTTTGAAATATCAATTATTGTCTAACGCATTGCCATGGGGATCGCAAACAGTAGCCAGACGCAGCTGTCCATAAATCGCTCAAACTTATATAGATATCGGTCGAGGGGGCGGGGTGGCAGGAAGGCGGAGCGGGACAGGTGGCGACCCCTGAATAGTGTCAACGGGTACACCTTCGCAATACTAATTAGTGGCATGCAGCGCCCAGCGCACATAGCGAGGCAGCGCAGTGCGCCTTCAATGCATTAGATATACAATTTCTCTGTGTGTGTGTGTGTGTGTGCATGTAGAGATATGTATTTATATATAATATATACATATAGCCATAAATCAGACAGTGGGTTCCGTTTCGTAGGCGTTATGCCGCCATATCTGATCAGCGATTGCCAAAGAGGTGCCAGAGATTAGTGATAAGCATCTGACATTCGAGGCGCTGCGCCGCATACCAAAACCACGTTCCCAAATGTATCAATGCGGCCCGGCATTGCGCGGCTTGGACGGGGCTTTAGTTGGCTCTATGACAGCCCGTCCGTCACTCGTTAACTTGGTTTAGAAACTCAAATAGTGCCCATTAGCGGGGCAGACTGGCAGCCATATAGATCGATAAACATATACTATATCTATCGATGGAAAATATCTCTTTATTTTTTTTTTTAGATTTTACTTTTGAACTTTTCGAGCTTCTACAGAGCTCGGGACTTGTATGAAATGCATAAACTTTTCATGTATAGAAATATAGTGATACGTATGTATGTAAATATGAATTTATAAAATATGCAAATTGATCTGTAGAGCCCTACCTTTGTGTGTTCTCCCCAAAACAATATTTGATCTTTCAAAGTACAACATGAAATTTGTCTATGTATTAATTTCGGAGACGAAAATATTACTCCTATATTATCCACTATATATTGTAATATGTATTCAGTAAGTACATATATATGTATATATTAGGTCAACATACACATAWAATAAATTAGTTATATTTAGTATATATATAATTAATTATTATTTGAATTTTTTATCTTTGTAATTAACGCGTTTGATCTAATTTTTATACTGATTCACGAAATAAATATACCGGCTTAGGGTTTTAATATCGGTCTGTCTGTTCGTCCGCCCGTCCGTCCGTCTCTCAGTCTGAGCGTAAACCTATTCACTGCTATTAAAACAGAAACTTGATATTTGGAATATATACATTGGTATCCATTTTTGACCGAGTGTAAAGATTTTTCCAGGGAAATATGAATAAGGGAAACGATATTACTTGAGTTGCTAGAAATAAACTTTAAACTTGAAATAAATATTTAAGGGTACAGCCCAAAAAAAGATACATATATTGTATATATCTTTTACTATTGATTTACCAAATAATATACTAGAAAAATAAATATTCTCTTGATTCTCTTGTTAAATTTGATCATCCCATTTTTCAATTGTTTATGTAAATTGTCGTTCTATATAAAAGTCTTTAAGGAACCTACTACAAACTCAAATATTATCGAGGCTTTCACTTGGATCCATGCTATATATAATATCAGTATATAGAATAAGCATATTTTCTTGCATTTTGCTCTGTAATCTTAATAGATGGTATATACATATATAGGTCTTGATTATAGAATTAATTATAATACAATATATTTGAGTCTGGTATCATTATTGTGTATGTCTGTATATGTATGTATATGTATATGTACATATGTATTTTTATATGCATATACAACGCTCATAGGTTTGTCAAATCGATCACTAAACTCTAATATCTAAATGATATATGCATAGTATAAATATAACAGGCCGGGATCATGATATATCTGGCCTGTGAGCCAGGATCTTGTATGGTTATTAGACGTATATGATATATACATACATATGTATCTACTCATATACATTTATGCACATATATATTAAGAGTAAATCATATACGTAAATGTATATAGATATGTACAATATAGCTGATTCCAAATGAATTTCCGTCTGCCTTATCGATGCACTGCACTGCATTTGAAGTGCAGTTTGTGCTATTATATGGAAGCTGCACTGCATTCGAAATTAGTTTTCTGCTGCTGCATATACAGAGGCTGCACTGTATTGCAAATGAGTTTTATTCTGTTCTAGAGAGGCTGCACTGTATTTATTTGAATTATTTCTGTTAAGGCCATGTTTGTGCACTATGGGTTGGAAGTGCATACAAATAGACTTGGACTTGGACTTGGCCAAACGGACAGACAGATTGACATTTGTCGCTCTCTGTCTATCTCTCTCGCTCTATCTCTCTCTCTCTCTTTCTCTCTGTCTCTCGCTCCATCTCTCTCTGTGTGTGAAGCATTTTGGCTGTGACTTGGAAGTTTTGCTGCAGCTTTGGGCATTTCATTCAAAGTAAATATTTACGAGCATGTGTGTGTGTGTGTGTGTACGCCTTGCTTTGCCAGGCTAAGCACAGTCACTGTCGCCGCTGCCTTCGACGTTTGTTTATGCATTGTATGTGAATATACATACATACATATACATTTATGCATATGTGTGTATGTATGCAAGCAATGCATGTGTCGTCGTTATTGGGATACCTACATTGCATATACTCACACATACACACACTCACACACACGCTGACACGTTCAAGAGAATCCATATCAGCACACCACACCGACAACAACAATAACAAGAACAATTATGCCCTCCCAAACGTATGAAAGTTCAAGCACACACACACACACACAGAGAGAAGCTCGTGCATGTACAGAGTTGCCATATAAAGGCAAACAAATGAGCGGCGACAGAGACGGCGACGACGGCGAATGCCCACAGGCCAGCCAGTCAGCCCAGGCCGAGTCGGCAGAGTCGAGCCAGACAGTCTGTCGCCAGAAAAATCTACACACAACAACAGCAACACATACAGCAGCAGCAGCAGCAGCAGCAGCAACGACGACGACGACGACGACGACGGCGACGACAAGAGCGCAAGCCGAAAAACGAGGGCATGGGCGGGCAGTGGTGGTGGTGGTGACGGTGGGCGGGGTCGGCGCGCGGGCGATGGCGTTGTTCAAGTCGTTTGCGTCGCTGTTGGCGTCGCAGCTGGCGCGCAGCTCTGTATCTGGTTAAGAAATCGTTCCAATGCGCAGAGCAAAGTAAAGTAAAGTAAAGCAAAGCAAAGCAAGGCAAAGCGAAGCGAAGTGAAGCCAAAGCCAAAGCAAAAGCGAAGCAGAATTCCATTTAGATTATATGCTTATTTTTTGTCGGTGTTGTTGTTGTTGTTGTTGTTGGCGCTTTTGACGTGCGGGCAACGTGTTGTGCGGCAGCTTGGTAGGTGTTACAATACATAATGCATACACACACACACACACACACACACATTCATAGAGTGAGCCCCATGTGCACACATGTATGTATGTATGCATGCATGTGCAGCGCTGCCAATGCGGACGACAACGACGCGCATTGCCAGACCGTTCGGCGGCGCGCACAGCCGTCACATAACGTCATCGCCAGCATTGGAGGGGGTCACGGGGGGCAGCAGCGGGGTGGCGGCGTGCACAACGGGGGGTGTTTAATGTTTAGGCTGCCTATGCTGCACCGCACACACACACACACACACACACACACACAATCTATGCGCGCTGTGAGTGTGCGGGTGTGCGTGTGCTAGCATCACACCGACGCCACCGCCCCCCCCCCTCCGCCATCACCTACTTTAGCTTCTCGATGCGCTTACGCCCCTGGTCGCTTAGCTGTTTGCCTTTGTAGGTTTGACGACGCTGCGACGACCCGAGTACGAATTTTATCGCCCACGATTTGTGTTGTTTGTTTGTTTGTTTTTGATACCCTACCCTAGCCACGGCACACACCAGCAACAACTGGCATTTGCACACACACACATGCACACAGACATAGCTCTATTGCACATGGGCCACTTAAGTGCAGGCCCAGCAACAGGAGGGGGCCGAGCATGGGGCAGGGTTGTCGCCATTGCCATAAATCGCCTCGCTTTCGACTGCAGCTAACTAACTAATGTGCGTGTTTGTGTGTGTGCGTGTGTGTGGTTTGCTTACCCACAGCATACAAGCATACACTGCCCCGGCCACCCCCTCACCACATGCTGTTCAACAGTTCGCTATCCCCATAGACAAACATTTGCATCCGAAGCTCCCGATCGAAAATGAAATTCGATTTCGATATTCTGCATATGCCATACAGTAGACTCTGGCTGGCTGCAACTTTTAAAATTTGCTGGTTTATGAACAGGAAGACTTTGTTTTTAATTTAAATATCGAAAAAACTAACTCAAAATCCTTTTTTTTTTTTGACAAATTTCTTGATCCTATGGTTCAAGATTAAGTCTAGATTTTGGCTTTTATTCATAGTTATGTTATAGTTGAAGTTGAAACGTTAAATATCCAAATTTAACAATTTTATACTTTACTACTTTATAGAAAAGCTTTGATCTTAGTTCATGAAGATTCTAATAAAATTTAAATACTATTGAAAGCCAATTGGATTTTTGTTTTTTTTTTTTTTTGAAAAGAAGTTAAAATAAAATTCTAATTCTAAATAGATTTGTGTATCATACATACAGATTTTATATTAATTTATGAAGAAGTTTTGGGATTAGTTTAGAGTTTATAAATAAATGAAATAAACATATTATTAAAAATGGAAATTGAATTTTTGTTATAATAAGAAATTAAAACAAGATTCTTATTGTAAATAGAGACTTTTATTATTCGGACAAATTTTCAATTTCATTAGATTTGCTACAGCGAGTGACTACTGTAGCCAAATTGCACATCTCTTGCATTTCCTGCTTAGCCCGAAAGTCCGAAAATTGCAAAAAGAACCGCAAGGAGCTGGCGACCGAAGTGCGGTTAGCACTTCCAGGATAGAGCAGGCGAAAGCCGAGGAGCGAATTGGCTGGAGACGTGCTGCGGCAAAGGCGGCGAGTCCGGCGAGTCCGGCGAATCGCTCGGCATTGGGAATCGGGTCGCCTCTCGGGCAGCCGCAGCCAACTGTACTAAAGATAGAAGCGAGCATGAACACGTTCTCACTCACACACACTCAGACGCAGTCACACACACACGCAGGCAACTGCACACAGCAGGCGAGCAAACACACAGGAAACGTGGACACCAAGACGAAAAACAAAAACAAAAATTAAAAAAAAAAAACAACAAAGTACAAAAAAAAAAAGAGAAAATGTTATGGGACTGACGTGCGGTGTGGAACCGGGACGGACGCTGCATAAGTGCATCATGATGTGGTCTGAAACCCAACACTGTTGCCTGGCTGCGAATATTAAAATACCCACTTAAGACCAACAACAACAACAACAATGGTAAGTAGTACCCTTACACGCACACAGTCGCACGAGCTCAGCCCGATCGACTGCGGCCAGGCGACATCCAGACATTGGCGCCCTTAGCACTTGGGTTGCAGCTCTTGAGGCTAAGAATAAATTATAGTTAGCTCTTAGGGCGCAGGCGCGGATGTTGCTGGCGCTCAAGTAGTTGGTGAGGCAAACAGTCGACCGTAGGGCGAAACCAACACTTAGACCAAAATATCACTCACTTCACACAGTTTGATTTAAAAAAAAAAAGAAGAAAATCATTCAGCAAACAGCAGTTAAGTTTGGAATTTCCAAAATTCAAATTGCGCGCCTTGACAGCAAACAGTGTGTACACACAGCAATGACAGCTGCACAACATGAGTTGCAACGCAAAAATGCGCTCATCGTGCACACAGTGCGCGCTATCGATAGCCAATCGCCTGGAACCTATCGATTAGTTAGCCAATTTTCCACACACTGTCCTCGCTATTGTGTGTGCGTGTGTGTGTGTGAACGCGTTRATTTACAAGAAAGTACTTCAATAATACCAAAAAGAAAAAAACACCCACAAAATGTCAACAAATTAAATTGAGTTGCATTTTGCCATTGACAGGTGCTAAGCGGGCGAGCGACTGTAGCAGGCAGCAACAACAATTAACCAAGCGAGCAGCAATATTAATAGCAAGCAGCTGCTGGTGGGAGGCATTAAAACAACAACAAAGGCAAACACTCGCTCACACACACACACACACACACTCATACATGCACAGATAGACGAGCCAGCGCAGGAAAAACAAATACAAAGGCAGCTTTTCCAGAAATTGGGTCGCGTTCGTTTTTTTTGTTTTCTTTTTTCGAGATTCAAATTTGGTTTCCATTCGCCTTTTGTTATGGAAACTTTGAGCACATGTTTCGGTTAGTTTCCTGTCAATGTTGAATATATACATATAATATTTATTTGTATATATATACATATATGTGTATTCATATATGTGACTTAATATCAATCGAAAATAATCGTATTTTGCTTTTAGCCTGAAACGCAACTGGACCCAGTAGAGAAAATCCCTCTCCCTCTCACGACTCCACCAGCGAGCGAGCGTCATGAGTGTCGTTGGCAAGCAACTGAATCCCGTGCAATCGAATCCGGCCGCCGCCGCCGCCTCCTCCTCGGCAGCTGCAGTCGCTCCGGGCAGCAGCAACAGCAACAGCAGCAGCAGTGAGTCGAACGGCGCGAATGCTGCAGCTGGCGCCGCCGCTGGCATTGGCATCAGCATCGGCATTGGCGCCGGCGACGTCAAGCGCAAGGAGGAATCCAATGTGACACCGGAGGATGTGCTGCGCCTGAACAAAATCACAGACGATTATCTGTGCTCGGCCAACGCGAATGTGTTCGAGATCGACTTTACACGCTTCAAGATACGCGACCTGGAGAGCGGCGCCGTGCTCTTTGAGATAGCCAAGCCACCCAGCGAGCAGTTCCCAGATGGCCTCTCCGTCGAGGACACCATGCTGGCCGCCGCCGAGGATCTGTCGCTCGATGACACTGCCGATCCCAATGCCGGGCGCTATGTGCGCTACCAATTCACGCCAGCCTTTCTCAACCTGAAGACAGTGGGTGCCACGTATGTTGAATCGGAGTATTATATAGACTCGGATTGCCGTATATGTATTTACCATATGTCCATCTCCCTTCCAGTGTCGAGTTCACTGTGGGCAGCCAGCCAGTTAACAATTTTCGCATGATCGAGCGTCACTTCTTTCGCGACCGCTTGCTAAAGACTTTCGACTTTGAGTTCGGCTATTGCATTCCACACTCCAAGAACACTTGCGAGCACATCTACGAGTTCCCCAATCTTCCGCCAGATCTCGGTGAGTAATAGCTCCCATGCCCCAACTGCAGCTGCACATGCACATGCACATGCAAATGCGAATGCAAATGCAAATGCAAATGCAAATGCAACTGCTGCCAGCTGCAAGTCAAGGTCATGTGCCCAGGCACATGCATGTACAGTGCGCATTCGATATGAAGTATACGAAGTCAAATAGAGCTGGAAGAGCTGTGAAGAGGAGTGCACTATATTTAAATACCCTGTAATGCTTTAGAATTTAAGTAGAAGTACATATTCATAATAGCTGATTTGATTTTGGGCTTTACCTCAAAGAGTTTTGTGAAAACATGTCTTACATAAATAGTTGGAGCTTTAGTTTGAAAGGGAGTGCAAGATATTTAAATACCCCTTAAATATTTTCGCAATTTTAGGCATAGATAAAAACTTTTATTGAAACTGAGCTAATATTAAACTAAACCCAATGAAATTAGGTTTTTAAAACTTTAATTTGTAAATACCCTGTATAGCTTAAAACTCTTTTCAAAATTTAATAGATAAATTGAAAAGAACTGAATTCATTTTAGGCTTTAACTATGAAGCATATTAATTTAAAATGAAGTGTAGGACAAGTAAATACCCTGTAAAGCTCAAAAAAAATATAGTCCATTATTTATGCCATTTTGTAAAAATGAAATTGATTTTAAGTTTTGACTTATTCAAAAACTTTAATGAGAATAATTTGTTAAAAAATACTGAACTTCGCTTTCTTCATTCAACATAGCGAATGCACACTGTACTCATGTAACTAGGTCAGTAGTTATTTAATTTGATTTAATTACGCTTTGCAGTTGCTGAAATGATATCCAGTCCGTTCGAGACACGCTCGGACAGCTTTTACTTTGTAGAGAATCGACTCGTAATGCACAACAAGGCGGACTACGCCTACGATGGGGGCAAACCTACCTAGACCTACGCCGAGAGCTAAGAATTGATGCAGCAGCTACACTATAACTAAAACCTATAGCAGCAAAAGAAAAAAAAAAAAACAAAAAAAAAAAAAGAAAGAAAACAAAAAAACATGAAAAACTAAACTAAATCTAGTTAATATTAAAACACACACACACGTACACACACACACCCAACACGCACATTAGCAGCATTCAAAACAAGGAACAAAAACAGAAAACAACATGAAAAATCTTAGTGGAAAAATNTTCGAGACACGCTCGGACAGCTTTTACTTTGTAGAGAATCGACTCGTAATGCACAACAAGGCGGACTACGCCTACGATGGGGGCAAACCTACCTAGACCTACGCCGAGAGCTAAGAATTGATGCAGCAGCTACACTATAACTAAAACCTATAGCAGCAAAAAAAAAAAAAAAAAACAAAAAAAAAAAAAAATGAAAACAAACGAAAAAACATGAAAAACTAAACTAAAGCTAGCTGACTCTCAAACACACACACACGTACACACACACACCCAACACGCACATTAGCAGCATTCAAAACAAGGAACAAAAACAGAAAACAACATGAAAAATCTTAGTGGAAAAATCATGTTAGCCTTAGCACAATGTTTTACCCACCATTCCTGTTTATGTATTTATTATTATAAACAAGTTCACACACACAAAGAAACACACACACACACACGCACGCAAACTGTGTTCATTTATATGGAAAACGATAAGCGTAAAACAAAAAGGAAAAGGAAAATCGACTTTTAAAGGAAATATTTAGGTTTTAAGAGCTATGTGATTTTCATGGAAACACAGCCGCAATTAGGAACCCCCTCTCAACTTATTTATATTTTGTATTTAAATTGTACGTTAAGCCACACACACGCACACACACACGCGCAGACACACACACACACACCCACCCATTCACATTTGAATACATATACACATCAATCTCGAAATATCTCATTTACAAATTTACAAATTTATCCAAAAATTTGCTTCGAATGGGTTTGGACTTGTTTTTGATCTCTAATTTGTGTTTTAAATGTGTATAAATATTTTAAAAGTCCGTCTTTACTATGTATACACTCAAACACGAGAAAAAGAATTAAATTTACATTTAAAATGTATTCATGTTGCTTTATTTCTTTCGCCTCTGTTGAGCAATCGATTTGACATCTCGCTCTGATTTGTGCAATTACATTGTCAAATTTGGTAAAAATCGGGTGGAAATTTGCTCATGGATCGTTGAGGAATTCGGTAACAATCTGGATGAACTGTTGCGGCTTCTCCAGATGAACCAAATGGCCCGTGTCCAGCCAGTGGATGTTGGCATTGGGAAAGATTTTCAGCACCTCGGGCCACGACTCGCGTCTGTAGAATGCGTGTGTGAGAGCGAGTGAGAGAGAGAGAGCGAGCGAGAAAGAGAGGGAGAGAGAGGGAGAAAATTGTAATTATATTTATATTGATATGCAATTATAATAAATATAGCTCAGCTATTTACTCCATATATGGTGAGCGGGTGCCACAGATGAAGGTGGTGGGTCCCGTGTAGGGCGGCAAATTGGCAATGTGCTCGCCGTAGCGCGTGAAGCCGGGCAAACTGTTGAGCAGGACATTTACGTTGCAGGCCCAGTAGAATCTGTGTGGAGCGGCTTCAGTTAGAGGGGTTTCAGTTCACTCAAATGGAGCACTTACTCGCCAGTCTTTGGTCTTTTGCGCAGGTTCAGCAAAATGAAGTCCACCGAACTGCGATCCACGGTTTCACCCAGCTTTTCCTTGGCGGCCTGGCGTCCCTGGGATAACGACATATCCGGTGGCATATCGATCTGCAGCATAGCCTTGAAAATACCCGTCATATCCTCTATAGTTCCGGGTATGTAAACTGGCGAAATATCCACCACAATCAGACGCTCCACAAGATCCGGCTAAAGAAAAACCAAGATATCAGTAAAATATTTAGGAAGGCGCGGCTTCCACTGTTGAATATCATACGTTTGACAAGGTAAAGTGCATGGCAGAGCGTCCGCCCATGCTGTGACCCATCACACAAGTCTGGCTCAAGGACTTCGCCTGCGTGAAAGCAACCAAATCCGCCGTCATCCCAATCGAGTTGTGCGTGTCCGTGTGCGGACTGTCTCCATGATTGCGTAAGTCCACTGTGTAGACCTGAAATGTAGATGGAAGTGCATGCTAGAGTGTCATATGGCTGAGATGACGGGGAGTTTACTTGCTTACGCGACGATTGGTCTGCTTGGCCAGGGCCCTGCTGATGCTACGCCAGTTCTGCTTGGAACCGAATAAGCCGTGCATTGTGATCAGGGGCGACCTGCTGGCATCGGGAGTGGGTCCATCAAATTGCTCGTGGCTCATGGCAATGGCAGGGATGCTGGCATAGTGCCGGCGATGCTGATGTCCGACAGCTGCCCGGCCTACGCTCGCCAGACATTGTATATACGATTTGGTCGCACCACTCTTTGGAAGACAACGTAACGTTTCGTTCAACAGTTGCATTTCGCTAGGGCTGCACAACGGCTATCGATTGCGCAAATTATAGTATTCTCATAGCTACAAAACCATCGATAGCTTCGTAGTGGACCCCTCTATCCCGATTGTCAAATGTATTGATCAAATTTAAGTCAGACAATAAAAAAGAAAAAATTTGAGATATAGGCTACTTTAATTGACATGACTTACATAAAACATTCAATAAAAACAAAAGCGTTAAATTATTAATTATAAGTAGTTAGGTCATGGGATAATTGAATATCGATGAACAATCTTCAGATTAATAAATGCATTGAAGCATTATTATAATAGGTTACAAATCGCTTTATAAATAGTAGATTGTAAAATCAAATATGGTAATTTAAATGGAATTTGAATTCCTCGTTCCTGCACATTGAAAATAAAAATATCGATATCCTGTACTGAAGCGATAAAAATAACATCGAGTGCAGCTCTAGCAAACTTTGTTCACCACTAATATTTTCTGCAGTTGCGGCGGCTTCGTTTCTGACAAGAAATTTTTTGTTAAAAAGTCGCATGGCAATTTTAAAAATTTAATAGAGTACAATAAGGAACAGGTAAACGCTTCAATTCAGGATCATATATATTGCAAAATCAGCTGCAGACTTTCAACGCCGACAGCAAAAACAAGGCACAATCCGTGGTAAACGCAGCGAAAGCAAAGACATTCACAATAGCCGTCGACGGCGTACTCTCGCACACATACGCACACCACGTCTGTGACACACTCACGCACTCACTCACACACCTTTACACGAAGCCGGAGCCGGAGCCGGAGCCTGCTGATAGACCTTTTCTTTGGCCCTGGCAAGCCGAAGAGTGAGCGACAAGCTAGCGTAAAGAGGAGGAACGGAGGCAGCAGCTGGGGCAATTGCGTTTAGGTGAGCAACAACAAATTGTGCAAATTCGCAATGCAACCAAAAATTGATATATATATTTTCAAGTATTCTATTTTTCCCCTCCAACACTACGTAAGTGCAAAAAAAAGTATAAAAAAGTAAATAAAAAAAAAAGTGGTTTACACACATCAAAAATACCGAAAAAAGTATTAAAAATATTACACCGAAAGACAAAATGTATAAAGCTTCGTAAATCGTATAAGACTCTAGTGACTTCTGTGAAAAAGTTGTGTTTGAAAATCGGAAATCTCTTGCCCGTCTCCCTTCAGACCTGTGCTGAGAATAAAACTAGCGATGCGATTTATAGTTCAGTATCAATTGTTTAAATGTTTTCCATAACAACTTGTTTCGGTCGCGAAAAGTGCGAGAATTAAAAAAAAAAAAAGTAAAAAATACCGCAGAATAAATACCAACAACGCTAAAAACGTATATAGACGTCAAATGTCGATGTCATATACGAAGTAACCCATGTGTGTGTATATT